AATTACATTTTAATAGTGTAAAAAAATATTTATACTATCAGTGTATATAATCTAAATTCTTAAAAATATAAAATAGCAAATTTGACTTTTATATACTCACTATATAAAGCACTTTCGCCGCTCTCAAATTAGTTAAACATAATTACTAAGAACTGTTCATAATAAATGAAATATTTACTTTAAAAATTACAATAATAATTTAAAAAGTATTTACACTTTTAGCATTTGAAAAGGGTATGTATGGTAAAAAAGAAAATAAATAAGTTTTTCTGAAATAAAATTAGTGATCTTATCCTACTTACTTTATGATATTTGACAGGTAAATAAAAAATATTATCTTAAAAATATTTATTTATAATCTATATATTAACAATATAAAGATTTTACGATATTCATAGATAAATATCTATACCTGTTACCCAAAGTTGCACGCAACTTAATGATTATAGCTTCTTCATCGGAAGTTATGTTACCTCTCTTTAAATCACTTTTCAAATAATTAATCCATCTTAATCTGCAACTCTTTCCACATCTTAGTAACCCTATCAAACAATTAAGAAAAAACATTAACTATTTATTTTCACTTTGCACCAAACGGATGAACACATAATTCATAATTCAGTAAATAAAAATGTATTTTTAATTTTTAACAATTCTTTTTTGATGAAATAGTCATTTACTGTTGATATAATTCCACAACAAGCATGCAATGTGATAGAATTAACGAGAAATTAAAGAAAAAAAAAGTGTGGATGGTTACTCCCAATTTTTCAATGGGAATCGTTTTTCGAGTGAACTGATTTAGTGGAAATGGAATGGAAAATTATGTTTTATATTACAAATTTCTCATTGACTTGCGGTGGAAAATCTTTGTTTCAGTAGTGAGAAGAATTTTTCTACACCTCATATGTGACTTTATTTTTATTTACATATCAATATGAACTTTGTTTGTACACCCAACAAATTAAAGGTGGGGCTAGAACCTAGAAAGGACGTACGACTTCAGTCGGACAAAAATTCAAACCTTATATCTATATTAAGAAATTTACTAAGAATATTTAAAAACTAAATTCAAACTTTAACATATTGACAATTCATATGAGTATTCTAAAATTTAGAATCCGCAAAGTTCAAATGTTAGTTCTACTCGCTGACAACCCAACAAAGGCATGTTTGGAAAGTCATTCTGGCAATTGGATTTGATGTAATTAGGTGTAATTGTACTGTTTGTTTTGTTTGGTTGACCATGTAATTACTTGGTCAGTAGATAATTGAGTGTAATTACATTCTCTTAAATCATATGGGGAGGCTGTGAATTGCTAGTAATTACATGATGTAATTACAAAATGATTAATTTTTAATTTCTTCCTTTTATTTTTAGTTTTATTTTTGTCATTTTAATGTATTTATTTAATTTTATTAATTGCAATTCTGTTTTATTTTTATTATTCTAATATTTTCTAAAAATATATATTTTTGTATTTTTTATATTTCATTTCCTTCTTATTCCCAACCTTTACTTCATGTGATTCCATATAATTTTTCGTATTATCTAAAAGAAAATTCATTAGTATAATTTTGTCAGTATTCTAATTTTTAAATTAAAGTAGAATTCATTGTTGAATAAAGTTATGGACTTACGTTTTCCTTTTCTTTTAAATCATATTTATGTATGTTATGTTAAAATTTTTGCTTTGAATTTAGAACTTATGTTATATTTTCAATTTCATTTGTTTTATGAATATTGACTCGATATTTTACATTGCAAGTTTTTTTTTTAAAAAAAGTTATACTTGATAGATTATCTTTTTGTCAAATGTTTTATAATTTATGATATTATATTTATAATATTATTTTTTTGGTCAAACATGCATTTCATGATGTTCATAGAAATTCTGTACTTTTCGTATTTATGATTAATTTAATTAAAATATTCTAAAATTGAAATATATAAATCATTTTTTTTTATAATATTAGCTAATAACATATGTTTATTAATTAATATCTTTTCAAAAGACTATATAAAACTTAAGTATTCAATTTAATATCATTTATAAAGGCCCTGATTTGTCTAATATAAATTTTTAATTTTAAATAATTAATTTTTATTTTTAAAATTCAATATAACCTTATGTTTACACTTGTTCAACCAAATAGTACATGCGTAATTACGGTCTAATTAATTCCACTGTGTCAAACAATCAGATCAGTGTAATTACTAAGTTTTGTAATTACATGGCTGATAATTACTTATCCTAATAATTACACCAATCCCAATTACCAGGTGGCTTTCCAAACAGGCCCTAAAGATAAAATAAAGTACTAGCTAGTAAGTACAAACATACTCTCTTATTCGCTAATAGTTTTTTAAACTTTCAGATGAGATGATTATGTGTTAATAATATGTATATAATAATATATTGTTACCAGCATTTTTAGGTAATGTCCTCCAAGATCCTTCACCATTAGCTTGAATATAGTTGGTGAGTCTTTCATCTTCTTCTACTGTCCATCTCCCTCTCTTGAGACCTACTTTCTCACAACAAGGTGTTCTTACCATTTCTATTTTCTAGTATGAAATATGCACTACACTTTTGGGATATTTCCAAATGAAAAATGGAGAAATTAAAGTGCAAATGAACCTTAAACATGAATGTCAATAAATAGATAGACCACACAAGTACTAGTATTAACCGCCACCACCTACCTCATCAATCTCTTGTTTAATGTTATGGTGTTGCTAATTTGGACGTATACTTCCTTTTTGAGTCGAGAGTCTGAAAAGATCTTTTTTATCTTACAAAAATAAAAATATACAAAATTTGTATACTCATTTGTGAGATTATAGTAATGAATATGTTTTTGTTGCTAATTTGGACATATGTATATTTTATTTAACAATAATAATTAAAATAAATATTTATAACCAATTACATTCTCTCTATATATAGGGGTGGCAAATGGTTGGATTGGATCGGATTTGGATGGATTGATTTGAATTACAGTCCACCCAAATAGAATATGGGTAAATATGGATTTAGTCAAATATAGTTTGGGTAAAATAGTTCTAACCCATTTTAAAAAATCTGTTTTTAAAAAAAAATAAATTACCCCCTCCCCCGGGCACCCCCACCTTCCACCAACCTACTCTTAATTTTTTTTTGTTTTCCAAAATTAACAAAAAATAAAATCTGTTTTTTCAAAAAAAGAAAAATTTACCCCCTCCCACGGGCACCCCCCCTCCCCCT